ATATGTTACCTTTTCAGAATAAGACGGCCGTATAAAATATGATGCAGAGCTTTGCTATAGTGTCTACACATAGACAACAACATCCAACAACAAAATGTAATATTAACAATCTGCAAGACGTTTTATAACTAATGGATTATTTTTTAGACAATGCAATTTCTATTTTTACTTCTCCCTGCAGCATTTTTTTTTTTTTTTTCTCTTCGTGCCTGTGTTGTGTGTTTGACTTTGATTGTCTTTTTCAGTCGTGTGTGTGCTGGTGTGTGAGGAGGCCTCAGCCTCATGCTCATCCACCTCTTTTGTCTGGCCTTCATCATCCCTTGTAAGTCCCCGGCCCCTACATCTCCATCTCCTCCGTTTGTTAGGCCGGTGTTGGGGTGGAAGTCGACAGATCACCTCAGCCTGCCCGACATGAAAAGCCCTCTCATTAATTCTGCAGAAAGAGACTCGATTACGGAGCTCCGGGCCTCTTACTGCTGAGAACAGCCTTTCCCCGCATGCATTGATTTCGTTCACCCTTCGCTCCCGCCCGCCCTCTCCCTCTCTCTGTTCAGGCCAGCTCAGCACACACACTCCCCCTCACTGAATCATCTGAATATCATAATACAGTCCATGATGAATGCTAACTAGACAGCAGCTCCGCGCTTTGATTAATGAAGATACTGTGCTGGTTCACACCAGCAGACCTGGCGCCTCACAGCCCAAACCACAGATAACTATACAGTGGGTATTAATCATGGTTATCCAGGCAGCAGTTTCTTATACAGATGAAGTGGCTTACTCTGGACTTTGAGGTACAATGACACACACACACACAAACATGCACACACTAGCTGTATATCCTCATACATTCACATAGCAGTGAGAGCACATAATACACAAAATGAGAGGTTTAATTACATTTTCAACCAACAGCCTGCTCTCACCTTGGTGGACAGTTACTAACTGTGCTCTTCTTTTGTGGTGTATTTCTCCTGACTTTGCAGCTCCATTCATTCATCTTTATTGCATCCATATTTTATGGCTGCATAGCTTTTCTTATTTTATTTATGAAAGGATAAATGTAAAAAAACATATACAAGTCTGTCATCTTCACTTTAGAAATTACATGCATTTCCAATAACTGGAACCCCCGCAGTCTCAGAGGAGAAAGCTCCGCAACAGTCTAAAACCCTGGACACGCCAGGATTTCCCACCGTGAAATCCTGCAACGAACTCGAGTCACTCCAGTGGAATGGCTGTGATAAAAGGAGAATTAATCCACATGAGTTGTAAGCGTAATGCTCAACTTCGGTGGACTTTGACACATGGATTAATTCCGCTGACCTATAAAACTGTCTTGACGGGGCTGACCTTTCAGCTCAGGGCCTCCTCTTGTCTCAGCTGTGTTGAGTGTGAACACTGCTCCATGAAACACCACCGGTTTACAGACAGAACGTGATGATGACAGTACTGATCCAAATATCCCATATTTATTTTTTAACAGTTGCTATAGGTTTTTAGGTTTGGGAAAGACTGCGCCCTGAAGTTCTCAGACTCAGGTGTTTTATTCACACCCTCTGCATAATGTCTTGATTAGCTTCTGCAGCTCGTTCAGTGACAGACTCATCCATCCACGCTGCTCGACAGAACGACACAGGAAATCATTCCTGCCTGATGAGGTCAAACTGTATAATGACAACTTGGAAATAAAGCTTAAACATGTATACTGTGTATACTTAACTTACGTGTCATGTTGATCTATATTGCAGATTTATTTCTACTTATGCACATTTTTTACTTTTTACTTTTGTCTTCTGTTTAATTTGATTTATTTTGATTACACTGCATTTTTCGCTTCGCCCTTACTCTTACTGCTATACCTGCTTTTTCATCGCTTGCTCAGGAGCTCTGTGACGTTTGAATTTCCCTCCGGGGATTAATAAAGTATTTCTGATTCTGATTCTGAATTGCATTTGCCAAAGACCATAAACTTTCCTGATCCCTAACCAAAGTGCTTCTGTTGCTTTAACCACGACCCCATGGATGAAACTGTGGCATTACAAAAAAAACTCCTCCTCCCCAACAGATTTGTCAAAAGAGAAGATCCACAAAACAAAGGATTTTATATGATGTAGTGATTTTGCGAGCACAACGTAATTTAGTCTTTAATAAAATTGTATTTGTATAGCCCATATTCACAAATCACAATTTATCTCAAAGGGCTTTAACTGATAAAAAAATGAGGGTGAACCAATTATTTGATGATACAATACTGCTTCAGTAAACGTCTTAAATAAATTAATACTTTCAACTACAACAATTAATCAATCTATCAAATCTTATTTTTTATAGCCCATATTTAAACATATTTGCCTGAGAGGACTTAACAATGTGTGCAATCCTCTGTCCTTAACCCTCAGTGAGAGTAAGGAAAAACTACAGGGAAAAAGCTTTTAACAGGAAAAAAAACTACATAGAAACCTCAGATAGAGTCACATGTGAGGGATCCCTCTCCTATTGGATGGAGAGGCTGTGAATGTAGATCTGAAAGAAATTTAAAAAGAAGATGAAAAAGCATTGACAAAAATGTCAAGAAAGCTTTTGGGGATAAGAGCTGACACCAGTGTAGATATACTGTAAAAAAACAAACATGTGATCTCCATTCCGCCTCTGCCTGCTGCTACAGAACTCTCAGCTCTGGAGAGTTCTGTGTTGTGAACATGTCTGAGCAGAGATTCTCCTGCTGTGTTGTTTGTTAAAGGCAAACTCCAGAAAAAGTCAATTGTGGAGATATCCTCTGGAGTTCATGTCTGAAAACAGTGTTAGAGAAGTTATTTATGAATGTGTGTGTTAGCTTGTTAACGTGACTCAGTGTGAAATCGCTGTAAAAAATAAAGACTCAAAAGGTGTTTCATAAATGCTAAAATAAAGCAGAGACTGAGGCACAGAGGAGGTCAAACACAGAGCGAATAGCAAAAAACAGGCTGAGAACAAGCTGGTAAGAATGAGGTAAGACGACGTTCTGCTCGGGAAGTGGTGATCAAACCGGTCCTTGTAAGCGGAAACAGTTGAGTGTTATGACTTTAAAATGCAGTTGCATGTTGGTGGGAGGCCCACACACAGCCAGCAGCACACACTGTACAGATCCCAGAGTGGCAGCGGGGCAAGCACACACACAAACAGACACACCACCCAAAGAACCAGGAAGTAAACACACCATCAGCTGTCAGTAGCTGCCTTTCATTTTTTATTTCTTTGCCACCACTAAATAGGCAAAGACAAGTCAGAGTTTTTTGATCCGAGGCCCCGATCTGCAGGATGGCATGATCTGTGCTTTTCAAATCACTGTAGTATGGTACACACTCAGTTTAAGATGATGTGACATTGCTTTTTGTTTCATGTGTGTCACATGCTTTATGTAAAATGTTATTATTTTAAATATT